GTTTATCAATCATAAAATATGAACCAAAATGCTTTATCTCTAAAATAGCAATAAAACCTAACATATTTTAATTGTTGATCTTCCACCATCACCATATTTCTTTTGCAATATGTAATCCAAAGTTTATGTGTAATGATCATAATTTGTTCTCACCTTTTCAAGAGAAGAGAGGATGGAGTGAGAGAGAGGAGCAGATTGAGGGGAGCAGAGCAGAGCCGAGCGGGAGAGAGCGAGGAGCTTTCTGTTCGATCAATTTTTTTTTATTACAAAATTGGTAAGATAATAGAAGAGAGGGTATTATAGACATTTGTTATCTAAGGTTATTTTAGGTATATCAGTTTTTAATTTACCTTTATTTAATAGATAGGTTATTTAAACAAAAAACTTTCCTGTGGGGGTCTTGTGTTATTTTTTTGTTGTTGTTTTGTGTGTTTGTTTTTAGTGTGTTGCCGAGTATTCTAGCATTGCTAGTTTTCGGATCTAGGCGGTCTTCGGACCTGTCCTCCCAGTTTTCTCAGTCGTCGGTTGTATTATTCAGCTAGTGGCTGTAACTTTGCACATTTGTGCGTTTATATATAAATCCTCTATCGTTTCGACCAAAAAAAAANAAAGGGTCATTTAAATAATTTGATGGTTTGACCATCCCCTTTAAATAAAGAACCCGTAGAAAAGTGAAACCACTGCAAAATGGATACATTTTGTACAATTGTATTTGTACCATGTAGAACCCGAAACGGTGACCTGAAATCCGGATCACCCGGTTAAGCATGGGGTCTATTGCTCAACCGGGTAAAGTAGTTTTATGAAATTTTAATAATAAAAATATTTATTTATATGCAAATTTTATACCTAAAGTCTTAATATTATTGTATTTTCTTATAAATATTTCCACACACATATATATATATACATAATTTTATTATTAAAATAAAAAAGAAAAAAAACAAAAAAAAGAAAAAAAATATATGATGGTCGGGTCTAACTGAGTTAACCCGACCGGGTCAACGTCGGGTTGGCCTAGTTTTGATCAGGTCTATTGCTACCCAATTCGAACAATCCACTCGGGCTAGTCCGAATTTCAAAACTATGCTCTGTAGGTGATTTTCTTTTTATTTTGATTGACCTATCGACTTGTTGGTAAACAATAAACATATTTTACCCAATCTCTTAAGTCTCTGCCATAAGACCTCACCGTTTGTTAACCGAATTGGGTAGAGAATATAAAGAAAACAATGTTGCATTTTTTCGAGTTTGATTGTTGTTTCTCTAAAACAATCATAAAATAATGATTTTACTTGCACAACGAGCAGCTGTAAGGTAAGACATTTACCGCGGGCGGTGATAGGAGTAACATATGTGGATGTGAAAGTTGATACATTATATCATAATTAGTGTGAAGTTAGTTGATCAATCCTCTTTCACCGGTAGACAAATCTAATAAATTCGTGAGTAAAAATGTACTAGAGATGAAAAATAACATTTTAATCATTTACGCAATATATCATTTACAAGGGCATGATTCTGTGATGATCACTTAAATATAAATCTTTAAAACCTACAAAACAACCCCACAATGGATAATGACAGGTTGAAAACGTGCTACTTCTCTTTCCAACATCAATTCCTAAAGTAATAGTAAGGGATTGTTCGTACTTCAAGAAATTCCCATGACTCCAAAATCTCTTTTTTTTTTTCGGCCACTGACTTACTACTTTCATTCAAATGCCACTGATGCGTAAGACATTGAGTTGGACTACTTTCACTTTCCTTCCAGTATCTATTTACCTCTCCATTGCTCTTGTCCTTGCCCTTTTACTGGCTTGGCTAGAAAACTAGTCCCCTCTTTCAACACAACAACAACGCAATTATGACTTTTCAGATAGAATTATTCTTTCTTTTGCTTTGCGTTAGGATAATAAAAACCAAAAGGGAATTCAACGAATTTTCAAATGTTTTCAAAAAGTCAATAAGATACTTAGATCTAACCCAATCATCTTCATTCAGATTGACGATGCCCTTACACTCAATTTTAAAAAAAGACAAATAAAACAATATTACAATTTGATTTTCTAGAACATTTTATGAGCTGAGTTTTGATATGTGATACCATACCAGGTCGAGTATGACCTAAGGAGCGGTTCGACTGGACTGGCAGGTCGATCGAACAACAAGGATACCAGAGGTCAAAGAATTATAAGGTCGATGGTGACCTCACAGACAAGGGAGCTCACCAGCAGGTCAAGCTAGGGCTCTCGGTTAGCCTGATAAGAACTCGAGCTGGAGACAAGAAAGTCGATGGCGTGACCTAAGAGACAAAGTCCATAAACGGGAAATTAGAGCAACCTGGTTTGTAGGAAGCCAAGCTGGTTGTACAATTAGACCGTCTAGTAGGATGGACTGATGTGAACACCCTACTTAAGAGATAAGAATACTATTAGGAAAAGAACCACACGTGGATAAGACCACATGTCTTAACAGAATCGGGCAAGGTACTCGGGCAGTACGAACCAGTAGTTCTAGTAATTGGGTAGCCCAACCGAGCAGTCTTGGGCAACAAGGTAATACCCTTATATAACAGGGGTGAGGTATGATCATCCAAACTCTACACAGTCTTATATACTTACAAGTTATACAATTATTGTTTATCGTCTTTCTCGCCCACATACTGACTTGATTGTTAGAGTTTATACGTCGGGACCAATCACGCTATTTTGCAGGTCTATCAAACAGGTCGAGTGCAGATCCAAGGTCGTAGGAACTGGTCGAGGTCGTTGACACACCATTTTAGCATCGTTTTGTGGGAACTTTTATATAAAAGCTATCAAAAGCACCATAGCCATGGAGAATGAAGAACCCATGAGAAATTTGGATCCCACTTTTGACGAGGCTTGGGTCTGTCCACTGTCGGGATTTCCAAGGTCAGTTCACACGCCGATGACTAATCCTTTGGGTATAGGGAGCTTATTGGCGACCCATGTAGCTGTTGAAGTTCCAATCTCATAGCTAACGAGTAGATCGGGCATGGAGGTCATGTCGGCACCCCTGGTGTAGCCAAATCTACTCTTGGTTGAGTATATGGGACCACCCACCAGAGGAGTTTTGTCAACAAGTCAACAAATGGTCAACTTGACAAGGGAAAAAATTATATGGTCAGCAGGTCAACAAATTAAAATTTGGTCCATACTAAGGAGAAATGTCAAATAAATATATAAACAAACAAAATTCGATAACTTATTAGGTAGGTTTTTTTTTTCTTTCTAGGCTCCATCTTTTTATTAATATTTTGATAAAAAAATCCTTTATCTATTATTGGGTCTAAACACGTAGTATCCAATTCGACGTTTTTTTCAAACCAAATTTCTTCAATGATACTTGAATTTAGAACACACTCCTCCATTTTTTGGGTAATTGCACCAAACCCCTTGTGTTTAACGAAATGTGCGCGTTTCTCCACTGTGTTTAAAAAAGTGCACCAGACCCCCTTGTGTGCACCAGACCCCCTTGTGTTCAAGTAACCGATGCACACGTTCCCTTTTTTCAATTTTCTGTTAACGGTGTTAATTTTTTTTACAAAAACCCCGTTATACCCTTCGAATATATATATATATATTTGCGTTAAATTGAATTTATCACGATATATTGAATATATCGCGAGAAATTGAATTAAAAAGAATGTTGTCTATGGGGTTCGAATCTAAGACCATCTAAGAGCATGGCAAGCAAGCAACCACTACACCACTCAAAGTCTTATGTTAAGTTTAGGAATGCTTATTATATATGGACATTACTATCGATAAATGAAATTAAATTTAAAAGATAATGTAATTTTATCAAATTAAATTATTAAAATATAAATTTATGATAAATTTAAATATAATAAAAAATTATACAAAATTAAATAAAAATAAAATAATTAAAATAGGTTATAAATAATTGTAAAAAATTACAGTTAAAATAATAATATTTGTTGTATTTATTTTAGATTATTTTAATCTATTTTATAATTTATTTTAGATTATATTATTCCATATTATTTTGCTATAATATTCATTTTATTTAATTTTCGTTTTATCTCAGTTAATGATTTTTTTTTTATTTTCTTTAACTTAATAAAATGAAATAGATTAACGTAAATTTTACTAAATAAAATTTAGAAACTAAAATAATTTATTTCTAATTAATATCATTTACTAAAAAATGATATTTTATTTCTAATATTTGTACAATTGTCTCCTTGCTATGAAATATTTTGATGTTTTGTGAATGAACAAACTACGACTACAGCATGTATAGTTATAGCAATTATGAAGGAACCGCATTAGTGAAGAAAGGTTATTAAACAGTATATGTCAATCTTATTATGAAACCTGATTAGTGTAAAATATAATTCTACTTATCCTTACTTGGTATACACTTTGTTTCTCATTACGAGATGTAAATTAACTAACAATTCATTTCCGTATCATATTATAAATATAGTATGTTCATTAACTTACACAATCATTATGATAGCCAGTGGTTGTGTTAGTTGTTTTCCATCCTTGAGATCTGGGTTCCATTCTTCCTTTCCACACTAAATATTTTAACTTTTGCAATAAAATTCAGGAAGGTATAAATGTAAAATAGTAATTTCGAAAATAAAAAAATTGAACAAATCTCGCAACTAGAGAAGGTGTTATACACGCGCCGTTAATTGAAAGGAAATGAGGGAACCGTGCATCGGTTACTGAAACACAAGGTGGTCTGATGCACTTTCTAAAACACAGTGAAAAAACGCGCACATTTCCTTAAACACAAAGGGGTTTGGTGCAATTTACTCTCTATTTTTTTGGGAAAAAAAAAAATAACTTGCAGTCGTATTCTTCTAACTAGGTTTAACTATTAGATTACAATTAAATCAAGGGCTCTTAATTAACGGTTGAGTTGGTTGGGTCACAGCAGCTCCGGACCCGTGGACTCATGGGTCCAACTGGGCTAAACCCTTCGATAAAATATATATGAAAAATTAGGAAATGGCAAATATCCGAGTAAAACCCAGCTAAACCCATCATCGTCCATTTCTTGGGGGAAAAAATGCTGGTGCAGCGTTCAATTTCGGTGCTACATACCTGCAAATCTTCATTATATTGTTATCCCAAGAGTTTCTCACTCTTTGCACGCAACAATTCCTTAGCATCAGTGTCTAATCTGTCTTTCTCCACTCGCAAAAGCTTTGACCCCCTCGGGACTCATAAAATCCGAGCCTTTGGAACCGCCGCCGCCGCCGGGAATGGAAAGGACGCAGACACCTTCTTGGCGGAAGAAAGCGTTTCGTGGACTTCTCTGGGAGTTTCAGATTCAATTTCAACTGCCCTCTCTAAACTTGGGCTGCATAGACCTTCTCTAGTCCAGGTTCCCGACCCTTATTGTTCTTATTATTAGTGTCTGTTGGTAGTTTATGTTTCTTTGTTCGTTCTTCTTTCTAATTGTTTTTATGGCTATCTTCTCTTTAATTTGTAAATATATGTTTACTTGAAATATTTGCTGTAGTTAAGAATTCATGGGACTTCAGTTCGAGTTAAAACCGACTTCATTAGTTATGGCGATACTAAGTTACTCTATATTATCTCTCTCGTCAATGCGATGAATGAATGGATGTTTGGGGACTAATATAAGGTTTTGATTTTCATGTAGTATGTTCTTGTCTGAAATTTGAATCTTTATCATTATGTGCATCTGTACAAATAAGAAAACTAAACTCATTTTGTCTGGGCTACATGAGTAATGAATTCAGTTAACTGAATACAAGCATAGAATGGTAAAAGTTGGGTCCTCGTTTTCCTGGCTTTTCAAGTGAACATCACTGACAATGGAGTATGTTTAAATTAGTCCTATCTCACTTTTTCTGTTTCGTGGTTGCAAATGAAGTTCCGGTAAGGCACCATTTGGATTGAGTGATTTGATATCTAATGGATTTCAAAATCCATGGATTGCAAATACCTTCAAATTCATTCACTTACATTTCCTGTCCTGTTGCAAGTTGGTTTTGCTGGAAATTTGATAATCTATAACAAAATATAACTTCATCCACTTGTATATCTATAAAAGTATAATATTTTTAAATTCTAGTGATACAATGTTTTATGTGTAAAATAAAATGTGTATTTCTGTAGAGTGCGGTTGTATGTAGGACCTGCGTAGATATGAGAGTTTGAGAGAGATAAACACGTGGTTTGCAATTGTATATTAAAGCAAAATTCAAAGGTAGGATTAGGAATGACTCGGTCTTAGGATGTATTTCAATTCCACAGCAGGCGAACTTAAATCAAGCAGGGATATGAATTCATCAATGTGAGCAATTTATAGTCAACACATCGTCAAGGTTCGCTAAGGATTTCTAATTATTTGCCCAAAGTATCTAAGCTAAGTCGGGTCAAATTGAATTTAACAATGATATCCACACGAAGTTTTTATATAGCATGGTGTCGTTCTATATTCTTTCTTAATAAATACTAAAAACAGTACCTCATCATTTGAAAACTCATACATTGAAATAACTATGTAGGCTGCTTGTGTACCAGCCATTCTTTCAGGGCCAGATGTGGTGGTTGCAGCCGAGACAGGAAGTGGCAAAACTCATGGGTACTTAGTCCCACTCATTCATAAACTATGCAGTCAGGTTGATGTGTCAGAAAGTGGTTTGGATGATTTGAAAGTTAATAAAAATCATTGTGTATCTCTTGTTCTCTGCCCTAATGTGATGCTTTGTGAGCAAGTGGTTCGCATGGCCAACTCCCTTTCTGATGATTACGGCCAGCCTCTTCTCAAAGCTGCCGCCATTTGTGGCCGTCAGGTTTGAATCTGACTTGTTTATCCCTGTTCATTGATGCAAAAATAATTATCCGTGAAGTCTGGCCTGATTATAACAGAAAGAACCTCAAAGATATTTAGTTTTCCAATTAACCATATTTCTGTGCCCATAAGAGTTTTTGTTTTTCACACGAAGCTCCTGATATACGACCATGTTGACTGCAGGGATTGCCGGTTAAAGAACTGGATATAATAGTATCGACTCCGGTTGCACTTCTCAACTACTTCTACGCGATTGGCCCGGAAAAACGTGGGCGTGATGATTTTATTCGTAGGGTCAAATATGTGGTATTTTCTTCTTTGAAAATTATTAAAGTGACTTTTCTTCTGTACTACTATTTTTTTGCTGTCTTAATTTCCTATTATGTTTTGTAGGTTTTCGATGAAGCAGATTTGTTGCTCTGTGGAAGCTTCCAGAACCAAATAATCCGCCTTATAAACATGCTCCGTTTTGACGAGAAGCAGTTGTCAAGAACTAAAAACGCAGACAATGGGCCACAAGATGCTTTTTATTCGGATTCGGAAGAGGATTTGCAGGAAGACATGAATATGGGTGAGGATGATGGTGAAGATGACATGAATATGGGTGAGGATGATGGTGAAGATGGCAAGGAGGGAATGGTTGAGAACTCTCAGAATGGTGGTGAGGTTAGAAGCAGAAAAGATTGGAGGAGGATGAGAAAAGTATATGAAAGAAGTAAGCAATACATTTTTGTTGCAGCTACTCTTCCTGTGAATGGGAAGAGAACTGCAGGTGGGATTTTGAAGCGGATGTTTCCGGAAGCTAACTGGGTTAGCGGGAATTATCTCCATCGCCAAAATCCAAGGTTCCACATTTCTTCTTTTTATTTTTGCAGTTTTGGTCGATTTTCATTTGTTTCAATAATTCTTAGCAAGTATGTGCTCAATCAATGAAAATGGTGGTTGTGGATCTAATGGAAAATGAAACAATAATATAGCGTTTTCAAATTCAACTAGTTGCTTCTGATTATTCTTTTGGTTTGACGTCTCCCAAGTCCCAATTAATTAGCACTTTTACGATTAATCTTTATTGAGCATCATCTTTCAACCTTTCAACTCTTTAGCTTTTATTTGTGAATTCCGCCAAATTATGATTTGAATATTTTAATTGTTCAGCGAAACTAAATCACTTTTTTCTACTGGTACATGTTACTGAAAACACTCATTTCATTAAATCTGTAATAATGATAAGGCTCATAACTTTAGATATTGATTGTTCTCATGACTAACTATAATATGTCTGACTATTCTCTGAATTGAATTCTTACAAACTGCTTCTGGTCTGCCTCCCGCAACTTCTTAGATCACATCTCATTTCTAAGAGCTATGATAATTATTCCCGCAAATTTGCATAAACTATTTATCAATGACATTATTAAATACCTATCCTCTGCTTGTTAATTCAAGTTTCATGGATGCCTGGACAAGAAAGACCTGAATACAACAACATAGCCTTTAGTCCCAAGCAAGTCGGGGTAGGCAAGAAAGACCTGAATACAATTCAATAAAAAAAAATGTGAAGCAGAAACCAATTCCAATGAAATAAATAAATAAAGTTGTTCATCCATTTTAGATATTTTACTTTCTGCTGGATACATTATTTTAATTTTTCTTTTGGTTCGTGCACTGCACTCGCTCAGACTGGAGCAGAAGTGGGTCGAGGTCACGACCTCTACACAGGCGGATGCACTCATACATGCCGTAAAAAATGGACTTGAAACCAGTAAAAAAAATTCCGATTCTGAAATAGTGCGAACCATGGTGTTTGCAAACACCGTTGAAGCCGTCAATGCCGTCTCTCAGATTTTGACGGCGGCTGGTATTGTGTGCGTGCAGTACCACAGTAACATCTCCCTGGACGAGCGCACGGAGAATCTAATCGATTTCCAGAGGAATGGAGGCGTTTTTGTGTGTACTGATGCCGCTGCTCGTGGGCTCGACATACCAAACATTTCACATGTTATACAGGTACATCTTTTTTTTTTTTTTNTTTTTACTGATAAATTGGCATTTTATGTAAAATGCTTTCGCTATCTATGTTTCCCTTTTTCAGGATTAACAAAAATGGTAAATATTTTTGTAAATTTTTGTTATATTAGGCGGAATTTGCGAGTTCTGCTGTAGATTTTCTGCACAGGGTGGGCCGGACAGCGAGGGCAGGTCAGCATGGCCTTGTCACGAGTCTCTATACTGAGTCGAATAGGGAACTTGTGGCCGCTGTTCGTAAGGCAGAAGAAGATGGTTTGCCTGTGGTAATATTTTACGTCTGATCTAGTTTATGTGATCGAATTCTGTTAAAATGTGTTGTTGCAAAGTTTGTCCAATCAATATTTGTGTAATTGCTTCATAAGATTCTTCATAAAATTTGTGCACTTCTCACTTTTTTCGGTTACTGGAAAAACATCACTACCTATTGTTTCCTTAGCCTCTAGTCAGTACTTTTATCATTCATTTTCCAATTTTTTGATTTCACACTGAACTGTTCAAACATAGAGTTAGCGACCAATAATATACTATCCTATTGTACCCTCGTCTTTTCCAGTTGACACTTTGCTCGTGTGGCTATTAAACTAGATTCGTATAAGTTGTTAATGCATCTTCTGTACTTATTATTGTTGTTATATGTGTGAGACATAAATAAGTTCCAATCGTAGTCTTATGCTTTCTGATGTACAGTCTCTTACCACGTAGCACGATTCAAATTTCTTATAGAGAATGACATGCCTAACCAATATTCATTTGATTGCAGGAAAATGCATTTAGTAGGAAGAGGAGTTTTCGCAACAAACTTAAAAAGAGAGGTAAAATTTTTATTGTTTCTTTTTGAAGAACTTATGAGACAAAAGATAGTGGGAAAATAACACAAATCTTAACAAGTGGGTAACTACTCTTTTGAACGCATTTTGGTGGACCATTATAATTATGGATAATCACAAAAAGATTTAGTTTAACCCCAAAAAGACCTACTTATCTTTTATGAATGTAACACGTCCCTAAGGTCATGAACTCACACATACTTCCCTTGAGAGGATGATGCACTTTGTAAGATTAAAAACAAATGCCATGGACAACTCGTAGTTTTAAAAGGCAGTTGATCAGTTTTTGATAATTAAGCTAATTTCAGTAGATTTCTAACTAACATTCATAACGAGGAGATTGAGTTACAAAAACCATATTAATGAAATAAAGAAAGCTCTAATTATTATTCAAACTCCAAAATACTCCTTTCTGTACTACAAGTACTCCTTCCGGTTTGTATTCACTCAACATCTACCCTCCTATCGATGGTGTGCATTTCTGAAAATAAAAGCAAACATGAAGGAGGTTGTTATGTCGATGGTTTTTCGTTTTTGTTTCAGTTCTCTATGGCTTAATGTTCCCTCTTTATTTCTTATATTAGGTCACAGTCAACAAAACGGTGGTAGATCATCAATTGAACATCCAATTCCAGCATAGGTACCTTACTCGGTGACAAAATCAAACTCTAACTTGGTCAAGAGTTTGTAATATCAGTAAGCCAAGCTTTTCACTTTTACCTGTTTAATTCCATCTTAGCATTCATTCAGTTGAAATACCAGTTGTGGTCCAGTTTATACACAACCCGTATCTAAAGACTCATTTCTTTGTAATGAACACGAAACTTGTCGTATTAATATAATAATATCATGGTTTGCATAGTTGCTTCAAATCCATACTATCATTATATTTCAGTTTTGACCTACATAACCACTACTAGAGCCCGATTTTACATTTCTTCAACTGGTCGACGAAATCACGGATGGCCCTATCCGAACTCCCGCCCTCATCACAAGCCCTCTTAGCCAAGTCACTCCACCTCCTAACATTCCCCCTAATCTCCTCACATCCCATCACTTCCTTTACACGAGACAAAAGCTCGTCCCTCGTCACAACCCCATGCTCGTCCTCTCTTGCCCTAACCCCTATACCCCACACCTCTATAAATCTAGCGTCTGTCATCTGGTCGGCCCACTGGGGCATGCCCACTATAGGCACTCCAAGGGATAGCCCCTCGAGAGTCGAGTTCCATCCACAGTGGCTCACAAAGCAGCCGATTGCTGGGTGGGCCAGCGTCGCCAGCTGGTTGCACCACGGCAGGATTAGGCCTTTGTGTTTGGTGGAGTCTGGGAATTCGGGTGGGAGTTTTTTATGTTCGGTGTCCCTCACGACCCAGAGGAAGTGAGAGTTGGAGTCGGCTAGGGCTCGTGCCAGCTCGTGTGTTTGCTTGGGGGTGAGGGAGACCATGCTGCCGAACGAGACGTAGATGACTGACTTGAGTGGCTTGGTGTCGAGCCAGGATGAGCACTCTTTGTTTAGCGGCGTCCATAGGCTGGCGCCGTAGCTTTTGTCGTCTTGGATTCTGTTGTCGAGGTATGATGAAGGCACCATTGGACCTATCAGCTTTGCTGGCCATAGATTTCTGATGCTTTTTGCTTCCT